GTAACATAGGTATGCCATTTATACAGCTTTGCCAGAAAGCTTCAGTCAACATTACCCAAGTCTATTCCCCACAGATTGATGGGGGAAGGGACTGGACACAGGCAGACACATGCCCAGTAAGGTCTGGGTGACTTGCTTATCTGTCAGTCACACCTAGGAACAAGTCAGTGGCTAGAACAAGGCGTGACCAATGAAAGTTTGGGGAAGATTTGATATTTAAGCTCCTGAACAAAGGAGCACCCCCCTTGCAGCTGATTCCTATTTCAGGGAGCACACTCCCCTGCATTCGCCCACATGGCTCATGGCCATGTGGGACCCACACAATAGGTTGATGGGCTGAATCTGGCCCAATGTACATCGGACCCCATTCCACACGGAACAGACACTCTGGACACTGGGCCTAACTGTGGCTCTGCTGCACCCTGCTGCACCTGTTTCAGGACTGGGTTAAGGGCAATGGGACTTTGCCACACAAGAAATATAATTCCACTCCAATAAAAACCATTCACTCTCCCGTGCAAGACTTAGAAAATTCATTTTCTCAAGATATCACAAGAGGAACTCCACTCCCACTAGTGTTGGGGGAATGAGACCCACTGATTTCTCTGGTAACAGCATGACCTATATGAAAATTTTTAGTTTTAATCCTAATAAGTACTGGGCCAATTTGATAGAATTTTGTTTAATGTATTTCTTTATTGGTTTCAGAGAGGAAGGGAGAAGGAGAGAGAGATAGAAACATCAATGATGAGAGAGAATCATTGATCGGCTGCCTCCTGCACACCCCCACTGGGGATTGAGCCCGCAACCCAGGCATGTGTCCTTGGCCGGAATCGAACCTGGGACCCTTCAGTCTGCAGGCCGACGCTCTATCCACTGAGCCAAGCCGGCTAGGGCTGATAGAATTTTTATTAACCTAATTATTTAGTATAGCTTCTAAGACTAATATTTATATATAGATTATATAAATCAAGATTTTTCAGACTTTATTCTGGAAAAATATTCAGATTTGAATGAAGAATATTTGATTTGAGTAGAGAATTCATAAGGATAAAAATGTTTCTCAATCACAATGTTTCCTCTCTCATCTCTAGGCATATGCGATTTAATATAATATCTACTAAATACAGGCCATTTAACACACAGGAACTCCTTTTAGTGATTACTATCCTCAAATAGGACGTAAAGGTCTGTGTTTCTAACCACTGGCAAAGGAACTGATTACACTTTGAGGTTGTGAAATAAAACACCTCTGTATAAAAAGCAAAATGTTAGGTTTATTATGCCTCTCATTTCAGATCATAAAAAACTTTGGACTTGGGAATCACATATATCTGGGTTTACTGCTAATGTGAGGGCTAAGCAAATATTAATACCTTTCTTCCCCACCTTCCAAGTTCTTCTGGCTGGGCTAATAAAGTAACAGAAACAGATTAATAGGAGGAAAATCCAAGTTTTAACACACATGCATGGGGAATTCACTTAGGCATGACAATATTAAAGACAGTAAGGCAACATTGGGTATCTGAGACATTTTGGACAAATAAAACAGGGGGGATGGAATATTATACTTCAGAAGTGAGAGTGGGTGAGAAAGAGGCAAGTTATTTTAAGCAGGCAACTCTGAAACAATGGCCACAGGTGGTATCTAGCTATCAGGCACCTTTCTTGTTTACCGTATTGACTTCAAATTAGGCTAAGGAGACATCCTAAGTCTCTCTTTCCTGAAGCAGGTTTCTCTGTCTGAATCTTTTGGGAAGGAAAGGGTGCAGAGTCAAAGGTTCTGAGTCTTGTTTCTTAATAAACAGCTTAAAGTTGACATCTGAAAAGGGCAGCTTCATGGTGGTTGAGCTTTGTTGCCCTTCCCTAGCTCTTTCCTGTTCACAAACTAGCTGTGTACCCTTGGGCAAGTTGCCTAGCTTCTCTCAGCCTTTGTTTCTCTATCTGTAAAATGAAGTTAAAAATCTGTAATCACAATCACAATAAGGTGCTGCATGCAGTCCCAGGGCAGTCCCTGACAAAGGGAGCAATCAGGACATTCATGAGACAGTGAGAATAACATCGCAATGGTGAGCCGCAATGTCAGTTGCTTTCCTTGTGGGAAGTGAAGCATTTTCTATGTGACAAGGATGTTTCCTCAGAAAATAAGATGTTCTAATTGAACCTGCTTCTCTTGACTGTTTGGAAAGGTTAAACTTATAAAATATACACAAATTTCTGATTTATTACAAGTCAGCTTATCACATGTCTGCAGGGACATTCTGATATGAATTTAAACTAGGATTTCAGAGTTGAACGAAATTTCACATCTTGTTTGTTCCAGTCCTCCAGATAGACTCAACCTACACTTTAACATTACAGAAGTATTTTGGGTAAACCATTTGAAAGGTTTTCACCCGATTTTTTTAATGTGACATTGATTGAACTTGAATAGCTACCAACTTTAGTCCACTTGATCTCCCACACTTCATAGTCATCACATTAACTTTATCTATAAAAATAAATAGAGTAGTATATTATTATGATTTAAAATTTCTAGAATATATTTGTTCCATTCCCCAGCTAGAAAAAAGAAAGGTTGTTTTTTTTTGAAAATACAGCAAAGATATGTGCATGTATGTCTGTTAAAGAAACTAGTATTGCAATATAAGTTTTTATAACATTAGTATCAAGCCTTCCTGTCATTTGTGCTCCACACAACTTTGGTAGATAAAAAACAACCACAAACAAACAAATAAAAAACACCTGTTGTCCTACTTCTGACTCTATTCTAGCAATAAAAGTGAAAGAAAAATCAACCTCAAATCTGAATAAAGGTAGTTTGCAGATTGTGAAAAATTGCTCAATGGTCTCATTTTGTACACAGCTTTCTGCCCAATGTTTAACCCTATTTTCAAATGGAATTTATGTCATTAAAAATATATCATTTAAAGGAAGTGGGAAAGCCACTAGGTCTGTTGTCTCCCAAATGCATTAAAAATGTCCCCTTGGTAAGACACATTGAAAAAGCATGTAAATTGCAAGGTTGGTAAGAGCCACTATTGAAAAATACTGTGCCGTATCTTCATGTGATGTTTAAGACAATTACTGGAGGTAACTACTACCCACATTTCTTTCAGAATCATTTCAGAGGATCAGCTAAAAATGCTGTTAACTCTAAGAGACTCAATCTGTCAAAATGTATTAAAGTGACATACCATTAATGCTAGTTCAACCTAAAAATTCATCCTGTAATGAAATGCTTTATATAAATTCAGGAAAGGTAGGAAATTCACAGTTCTCTTCCACACGAGCCAGTCTGTGAGAACCAAGGTGGTGTGATATAGAAATGGTAATTTGACTCCCTGCAGTGGCTTAGTAATGGTCCCTTAATACTTATTCACAGATGTGCTTGCTTTTGTGAACATGTCTTAGAGACCTAGAAATGACATTTCTCTGAAATGGAGGAAGGATTTGGAAGAAGGTGTGAGTAAAGAGAAGGGAAATTTCTTTTCCTTGCCAAGCTTCCAACATTTCTCCTTGCACAGAAAAACAAAGACATCAACACACACACACACACACACACACACACACACACACACACACACACACTGAACTCAGGCATGTCTATAAAGAGCATTTTTTTATTGACTTTTTTTTGGCAAAATGGGAGCATCAAACACTGAACCCAGTTCTACACTCCTCATACTCTGGAAAGTCATAACCTCCATTCATGGGCATCAAGCCTTTCGTTCAGAGGAAAAGACTGGATGATGTTGACATGACTACAAATGAGGGCCAAAATGACATTGATATCATCATGATCATTTAGACTTTCATAGAACTGTGTTCAATTATCCCTAGTACCTGGCTCTCATTTATGTTTCCAGCCTATTTTCCACTCTTCCTTTGCATGCTTCACTCACTGGCCTTCTGACGCTTCCTTGTATAAACCTGACACTTTCCCATACCTGTGACTTTGCTCGTTCTCTTTCCGAAGCCCTCACAAATGTCACATCCTTGACAATTTGTCCATTGGTAGATGAGATCGCTTGAGACAGTTATATACAGTAAAGATTTTTAGCTCCAACAAGCAGTTATGAGCCACTGAGCAGTACTGAAGTTGTAATGTGCATAAGAATCACCTTGCCAATAATGGAGATTTTACGGACTCATCCCCAAAGATTCTGATTTGGTAGATCTATAACAACCCAGAATATGCAGTGCTAATAAGTCCACCAGGTGATTCTAACACCAGGTGAGTCCAGGACCTCTTTGAGAAAAACTGCTGCTCTCGGAACAACTTTCTTTGCTTTTTAAATGTCTGGTAAGAGATATTCTAGAAAACATTTTTCAAAACAAAAATGTCATTAAAATTCTCATTAAATCTCAGAACTCCCATTCCAGAAGTATTAGATTATAGATATGTTTATCCCCTATTCCCCTAGCTGGATAGGAAGTATTTACATGGAACAAAAGCTAAATATGGGTTAATGAAATTGCTATTAATAATCACTTGTTGAGAAAATGCAGGAATCCCAAGAACATGGTATAATTTGCATCACTTTTGTACTGCCTCTGCCAGCTCTATAGTTAAAGAGGAACAAAACAACTCCTTATGAAAAGAGCAGGTTTAAGATGGAAATAATTCTTTTGCAAAACTCAGGAAACAGTACCAGAGCCTGTGAACTGTGCTCCTCCAACAGGAGAATCCCGTATTTGTAATAAATTCCTTTTGCTCTGGATGAGTTCTGCATTTTCAATGAGGTGAACTTGGCAACATTCTAGTTGATTTTAATAAAAATAGCTGCTTTGAGGACAGGGAGCTGAGGTTGCCAAATTTACAGCTGCCTTGCACAATTACTCTTACACCTCCTTCAGGGCTACTTAGAACCAGTAAGCAAATTAAGTGTATCGATTGCAATTTTGTTCGCCTAACCCCCCCCCCTTTTTTTTTCTTAGGGAATAAACTTGATTCCTTTCAGTATGTGTCTGTTCAGAGTGATCTCTTTTCCTTTCAGCCATAACACAAAGACAACATCATGGCTGGATCCACGACTTGCGAAAAAGGCTAAACCTCCAGAAGAGTGCAAAGAAAATGGTAGGTTATTAAGTTTTTATGATGTTTCCGCATTGCACTTGGAGAATGCTTGTATTTCTTAAAAGAGGGTCTCGCCTAAAGAAGCAGTAATGTAGTTGAAACAGTTTTAAAGATGTGATGTTAAATGCTCAGAGTGGAGCGAGAATGAAGTCGGCATTTCAGCATTGCCATGTGGTTCCTTTTTCTCTCTGAGGAGGCTGTGCTGGATCTCACATCTCTGTCCTCTCTGTGAGTTGCTTGACTCCTGGCTTGACTTTCCACCACCTACTGAGGACTTTCTATTTGCAATTTGTCTCTCTGAGGGCTCTGATCTTTTCATTGGAATTAAATATGATATGTAGAGAAACAGTATTGTGAAACTATAAATAATATCTGCTGTTTACGTTTTGAGACAGTGTTCTGCTAGTATTTAAGGTATCGCTGATATAAAGATCTATACATATGGCCACTTTCCTTTAATCAGACATTGAAAAAAAATCATTAATTTCATGAATGTGCTGGGTTGTCCTTAGTCTTTTCCAATTCCCATGAAGTTGCTTAAAAATGGACTATTTTCGTGCATGTGAAGAATTTTTTTAAAGCAATTTTGAGTATGAGAGGCATGTAAACCTTGTTTCCAAATTAGGAAATTACACAGATGAAATCTGTTGCTGAAGATACTAATAATTTTTTAAATATTCAGTGTATGTTAAAAAAGTATTTATATCTTATCTAAAATGATAAATAGCATACTCTCCTTATGATTTATATTTGCCTTTATCTGGTCAAATCATTAGAGCCTTATTCAGAGGCATCTATCATTGACAAATTATTAAAAGTGAAAAAAAATGGTGAGAGGTATTTAAATGTTTTAAAATATTTTTAAAGTCAACTTTTAAAAAAAGTCTTTAATTCCAAAAATCCTTTTGTTTTAGTAGCAATTCCAGCTTTCTCAAATAGTATCTAGAAAATATTATTTATTCCTATGTTATAAGGGAACTGTTCATAGGCTAGTTATACTGAGTTAAATTTTAAAAAAATGGGAGTATACAATTTATACGTACATATTTGAATGCATAAGTATCCAGTTTTTAAACACTGTCTATGTATATAATTGTGTGTCCATAGCTATATCTATTTGCCTTCTATATAATGGTACAACTGCATGTGCTTAAATTCCATAAAGTTATTATGTGGCCTGGACTTCTTAGCACAATTAGGTTACATCTCATTGACAATATAAAGATACGTGTTTCAAATTGTGATTGGTTATAAATGAAAATGACCTGATCTATTATATCTCTGAGTTACACTTTACTTGTGCCGCAGATGTAAAACCTTAGTATATACTAATTAAAATAAATTTAATGATTTTACAGTTCGGTGACATATTGAACTTCTCAGTTGTCTTGTTCCTTTGAGTTGCTCTTTTCATTATAAAAGCCTATTAAAGTCAAATTTTAAAATCCTGGGAGAGATGTAGGCATAACATATTGCATAATTATAATATTTTAGTGTTATCAGTTTTTCACACATTTGCACTTGTCTGTCTTCTCAGGATGGTAGATGCCTAAAATATGATGCCAGTGTCTGTGAATCACATGTCATTGAGAAACGAGTTTCAGAACACAGTCTTATAGCTCAGAATTATATATAACTGGTCAATTGCCATTTTTTTTTCATTTTCTACAAAATAAATAATTCCTAGATTTTATTTCTTTTATTATTGGAATGTTTTACAATAGAAACTAACATCTAGTTCATGACAATGCTATTGTTCCAAATATATATTTTAAGTTTTCTTGCCAAGAGAAGTGCTTTTAGGTAATACTGCTACTTCTGTTTATTTTTCTTTTCTTTAAATCACATAGATTTAAACTCTTGCTCAAAATGTTGGATATAAATAGATTGATGTTGAGCCTGCTAGTTAAGACAGGCTTTTTTATAAGTATCACAGTTCAGATCAAGCAAAGTTAGTAGAATATTTTCCTGAATGATGGAATATTTGTAAAATGTATATTAAAATTTTGTAGAGGCTCAAGATGGTATCTTTCTCCAGCAAAGATTTATCCATCCTTATTCTGCTAGGGCAATGGCGTGGAAGGCTAAGCATATCTCAATTCATTATGGAACTGAGCCAACATAAGATTGGGTTGAGTTCTGTTAAGACTCAATCTATCTCTGATTTGCCCCTGTTCTTGGAGTATTTGCCCACAGGGTTTAAGTAAAGGTCTGTTGCAGGTTGGCAGACATTTTTTGTAATGAGTCAGGTAGTAAATATATTAAGCTTACAGGTAATCCAGTCTCTTTGCAACTATTCACTGTTGTGCAAAAGGGGCCAAAGTCAAAGTCAATTTATAAATAAAGGGCCTGGATGTATTCTGATAAAACTTTGTGTATGAACATAAAAATTTGAGTTTCATGTACTTTCACATCACAAAAATTTTTTTCCAACCATTTAAAAATGTTCTATTATTAGCTTGTGGAACACACAAAAAAATAATGGCAGGCTGGATTTGGTCATGTTTCTACTTTCAATTCTTTTTTCGATATTTTTTCATTTACCTTTTGATTTCTTCTTTGACCCATTGGTTTTTCAGAATTGTGTTACTTTCCACATATTTGTGAATTTTCTAGTTTTCCTCCTCTTATTGATTTCTAGTTGTATTCATTGTAGTCAGCAAAGATATGGGACATGATTTCAATATTTTTACATTATCTAAGACTTATTTTTGTGACTTAACATACCATCTACCCAGGAGAATGGTCCATGTGCACTTGAGAAGAATGTGTATTCTGCTGCAAAGGATTGAATGTACTGTAGGTATCTAAGTTCATTTGTTCTAAAGTATAGCTCAAGTCCAATATTTTCTTATTGATATTCTGTCTGGATGACCTATTGTTGAATGTAGGGTATTAAAATCCCCTACTATTATTGTATTATTATCTTTTTCTTCCTTCATATCTATGAGTATTTGCTTAATATATTTATGTTCTTTGATGTTGGGTGCATATATATTGACGTTTGTCACATTCTCTTGATTAATCTACCCCTTTGACATTATGTAATGACCTTCTTTGTCTCGTGTTAAAGTTTTTGACTTCAAGTCTAATTTGTTTAAATGTAACTACCTCTTCTCTTCTTTTGGACTTTTTGAAATGGACATTTAAAATAAAATCTTTTCTTTTTGTGGGCAGTGTCCATGTTTAGGTTTGGTATGTAGATTCTGGCCTATTTTGTAGGCTGTTCCCAAATGCAATACAGTTTTCAGACCCCTTCCAGTGCTATTTTGGTCAGTTTATTTCTTCTTACTTGGAAATTCCGGATAAATCCCTGCTAGTGCCACCTGCAAAGTGTGAAGAGTTCTTTTCTTAGTCCCCCCACTAGTAGGAATGTGGACTCTGGATTTATGGGATAGAAAAAAATTTCCCTTGCCTATGTTCTCTGCCCACCTGATGCTGGCAGGTGTAGGGCAGGAGATGGATCGCCTGCTTTGGATCCATTGATGCCACCACCCCAGGTTTATCAGGCCACCACCCCTGATGGAAGATTTGTTGACATTTCTGAGTTCTACTGATGTCACCACTGTAGGTGAAAGGGTCCCACCACTGTGGCTAGGTATAGGTGGGGAGATAAGATAGCCCCATGTCCTTGCTAGGCTCCCTTTGTCCTGGTCCTGTGCCCAGAAAGAGTAGGCTTTCTCATTTGTTTGCTTGCTTCTTTGTTTGTATATGCCCTTTGGAACCCAGTCTGAGATATCCTATATAATAAGTAGGTAATATGCAAATTGACAGTCATGCCCTCACACATGATGGCTGCACCAATGTGGGCACAAGATGGCTGGCAGGGGAGGGCAGTTGTGGGCAATCAGGCCAGCAGGGGAGGGCAGTTGGGGGAGACCAGGCCTGCAGTGGAGGGAGGGCAGTTAGGGGCAACCAGGCCAGCAAGGGAGGGCAGTTGGGGGGGACCAGGCTTGCAGGGAAGGGAGGGTAGTTGGGGATGACTGGGCCTACAGGGGAGGGCAGTTGGGGGCGACCAGGCCGGTAGGGGAGCAGTTAGGCATCGATCAAGCTGGCAGGGGAGTGGTTAAGGGGTTATCAGGCTGGCAGGCAGAGTGGTTAGGAGCAATCAGGCAGGCAGGCAAGTGGTTGGGAACCAGCAGTCCTGGGTTGTGAGAGGGATGTCCGACTGCCGGTTTGGGCCCCGATCCAGGATCGGGGCCCAAACCGGCAGTCAGACATCCCCCGAGGGGTCCCAGATTGGGAAAGGGTCAGGCTGGGGTGAGGGACAAACCCCCCCCCCGCATGAATTTTGTGCACTAGGCCTCTAGTATAAGAGATAAAAAGAAAACTCTTGGAACTCATATGATATCATTCTTCAAATAATGAGGTCCGTAGCCAATCTACTTTCTCCTTTCGATCTTTCCAGTCTTTTTGGTTGTGTATTGAATTATCCCCAGGGTATTTAAATGGGAGAAACACGGAAAGGTAAGTTTACACCATCTTTTCTAGGACCACATGTCTAAACATGACTTCTGATACTAAATGATATTACTTTAAAGCTAAAGAGTATTTTCCCCTCCACTTTCTCTGTTAAATCTACCAACACTCTGTGAAGTAGGTAGAAATTTTTCACTACAATTTTTCAGATAATGATGCTATAATCCAAAACTTTAAGGGCCTTGTTTAACAAGTGTAAGTAGAAAACAAGGCTTGAATCCAGGCAACTTGGGTTTAAGATGGATCTCAATGTTATGACATTATGCAATCTGACTAGATGCTTTAGCTGGAGACATTAAGCCTTACGAATATGTTTTTAAAATGATGAAAAATATTTTTATTTTAAAATTTTGTATTTAAAATAAATAAAATGGAACTTTTAAAATATATTCTCAATATTTTTCCTAGGCCATCATACCTATAAATAGAACAATCAGTATAATTTTATGATCAAAACAATTTAAATGGCATGGTTTATGTTTTTAAATTAACAGAATGAATTTAGCTCTGAAAGATATTTT